CCGGTAGCAAATCAGAGGATGCCCCACTCGCGACTGAGTCACTCGGGCTGCTGGTGGTGGTAACATGGGTGTCTCCTACCTCGACCATGGACCAATTATCTATTGTCCCTCTTAGGTAGTAGCAGTGGGGCGGCGGTGGCGGCCGAACATGCATCGAGGAGCTGTATAGTTCAGCGTCTCGACACTCAAAAAGGCTCCGCTGAAGATCTTCAGGTGACGACCATCTTCCTACCACACTCCTCGACTACCATATCGTGCATATAGGCATTGGTGGACCTGTGCCTTCCATTGACTAGACTTGTGCGCAGTATATCTTCCAGACCACCAGGCAGATCCCGACAGGAAATAGTGTTGAACTCACTTGTAAGATAACTACTAGCAGTCTAGTGGGTAAAAGCTCTATCATTAAAGAGAACCTCCTCATCCAAGCCACTGCTATACCATCATCATCTATATTCCTCTTCGTCCTCTAGGATCAATTCCGAGAAGATCCGATTTGTACATCACGATTCACCAATGGCAAGAAGGATCTCCTAAGAGTTTTGTGTTGGATTTTTCAGCAGTGCGAACCCGCTGCATTTGAGGAAGGCCGACATGATGTAGGTTTATTTTTAACATACTCCTACTGCTAGTCTATATCCTTCAGATCCTGTTGATGAGTTGTTCCTCACCAAAGTATTGTTCATCCACTTCTACAAAGTCCTCTGGTCCAACCTCTTCAAGTGACACTTGTGGTGGTGGTGGTGGTGTGCACAAGAACAAGAACAACAACAACCATCCCCAAATCCTATGGCTAGCTCGAATATTGGGATCAGCAACCACATTTTACCAAACTCTGGGTGACATCGTCATGTGTATAATTATGTTACTAGTTAAACTCAATTGTGGACTGATAACGAGTGAGGATGATGAAGATTCCTGTGAGAGGCAACTATCTATCACATGTAATACGTCTGAACATCGCCATGCACATGCATCATCATCATCATACTCTATCAGGTGTGAACTATATAACTCTTTTACGTCGATTACGATTGTGGGACTTGGCTACATCATTCACCAATGCATGTGCGGCATATGAGGACATCGCCGGAGTCAGCCATGCAGGTATTGTACTAGAGAATGTAATCATCAATTTAAGACCTGTGTCTGGTCATCAGGTACAGGTGTGAAAACACGTTGTACATCATGCGGCAAGGAATGTGTCATAGGCTCTGATAAAGCACTGTGCAGCCACTGTCATAAGAACAACAGAATATGTGTAAGCAGCAATGGGTCTATATCTATTTTCAATCTGTTTTCTCAGGTCGTATGTGGCGAGAATGTGAAAGGGTTGTGGCTGGCGTGTCAAGTATGCGGTCATGGCGGCCATGCTGTTCATATGAATGATTGGTTTACTTCCCAGAAGTATGATATTTGTCCGTCGCCTAATTGTGGTCACGTTTGCACTCCGACCGTAGCACATCGCAATTCTGCCCCTTTGACGAAGTGCTAATTATGTCTATCCATCCAGGGTGTTACTGTTAGTAGTTGGCGAATTATCACATAAACTCACTTATAAATTGAACAAGGGAGAAGCTTCAAATCAAGGCACTGTAAGACCTCCCAGAATCGCACGATATTCAACAAACTTTAACCACAGTCCGCTCCCCCACACCATCCCTATCGTGCCATCTAAACACCTGAGCAATCCACACATCGGCTATATGGTGTTATTCATACTCACAG